CTTACGACGTGCACTGGCTGTACTATACTCACTTCCTCTTCCAGTAGTGCAATGTCGCAGCATAGCAAAGCATAGCGACATCTAACAAGCCCAAGAGGTAAGCACTGGTTAGCAAAATCTCCGACTCACCTGGTCTCCACATCGAGTGTCATGTAGAAACCCTTCTTGGTCTGAGCGATATTTCGCCGAGATCTCATCCTTGATGGGTTTCCAGCTGTTTGATCGACATTCAGAATCGGCGGTACCGGCAACGATTGTGAATCGGTTAGAGAAGCAGACCGTTTCTCACGGAAGGCAATCTTTGGAGTCCTTTTCGAGCAACGAGGCGGCTGAAACCAGCATAAATCGCTTAATTAAAAAACTCACTTGTGACCTTGTTTGCGGAGAATCTCTTCCAAAAAAGTGTAGTTAGAAATTTTTAACTTATATTGTTTCTACAGGGTTGGCCATAAATATAGCGACAAGGTTTTCACCTTATATCTCAGAAAGCAAAAGTGCAAACGAGTCATGAACATAACATTTATTAAGTAACAACTGGTACATTAACAATCATAAGTTACTTCTCGATTCGGCCACCTTTGGCACGGACGACAGCACGGAGTCGCTTGGGGAAAAGCGTCGATGACCGGACGCAGGAGTGCGTCGTCGATTTCGTCCCATTCTCGGATGAGCGCTGCCTTCAGAGAATCCAAATTGGGGTGGGGTGTGGCGCAGGCCTTGCTCTCAAGGTAGGACCACAAGTTATAGTCCAGTGGGTTCAAATCCGGTGACGATGCCGGCCATTCTTCTGCCGAGATGAAGTCGGGGAGTTCGCTCTTGCACCACGCTTGGACGACCTTGGCCTTGTGGGCGGGCGCCGAATCTTGCTGGAATGTCCACGGGCGGCCGTTGAAGTGGGAATTCGCCCACGGGAGTAGAGCATCTTCCAGAATCGTCTTCAGGTAGTAATCTTTGTCGATTTTGACGCCGGGGTCGACGAATATCAACGGCGTCTTCCCCGAGGCACACACCCCTGCCCAAACCATGACTTGGGCAGGGTGTGCGGCCCGGTGAACGACTCTTCCCTTCTTGTCGGCTTCCTCGGCATTCCTTGCGATCACTCTGACGTTCTGAGCGTTGAACTGCTGCTCGACGGTGAAGAGCTTCTCATCCGAAAAGACGATCGAATGGTGGCCCTTGTTGCGCGTCCGAAGCAAAAGCTGTCGGCACTTCTTGACTCGCGCCCCTTCCGAGTACGGTAGGGGTACATCTTAAGGTCTTCGTGGACGACCCTTTCCATTGACTTCCGCGAGATTCCCATGTCGCGAGCCATCGTCGAGATGCTCCGAGTCGCGTTTCTTGCTATCCGCTTTCTGACGGCCTCGACGACCTTCGGCGTGCGAGCAGTACGAGGTCTTCCACTTCTTCGGCGGTCTTGGAGTCCACCAAGGTCTCGATAACGTTGGAGTGTGCGATACACGACGCTGCGGTGGATGCCGAGGTGCTTAGCGATCGTGGCGGGTGGGCGGCCGGCTTTGTGCAGACGAACGATAGCGGAACGATCAGGAGAAGGCTTTCACTCACTGATATGTATGACTAGTGGAAGGTCCCAGGAGGCGTGGAGATGCATGTGTTACAGGCGAGGCGGGTGACGGTGTTTCTGGCAGAATTTCTAGAACGAAGCCCGAAAATGCGGTTCAGTACGCCGTGTATGTATAATAATAAGTATCGTAAAGGTTAAGAAGTTGTCATGTTAATTGAATACCAGCAAAATCAAGCCTGTGAAGTAACTCCTCAACATTACAAGAAAATAATAGAATATACGCTCATCACGATAGCATGGAGCCAGTAAACTTCTCCGTCTATTGTGGTGAACAGAAGCTAAGAAAATATTATAGCTGCAGCTTTCTGTGAAAGAACTCCTTTCTCGAAGACAGGCGCACACTTTCGGTTTCATTCAAGTACAGTCCTCATCATTGCGGACCGGTGGGGCGTGTCAGCCAGTATGAGTGTGCACACTGTTGAAGCCGTTCTCAGCCTTTTTGTTGAAACGCGTATGCGACAAAAAGTGGTAGAAAACGAGTAATAGAATACGGAGGATATAATACAGTAACTGCCAAACGATACGCCGCCACACATCTCGTAAGGGACTGTATCTGCTGGCGTTGTGAGGCTTGGCCTATGCAAAGAGATACCGGTCAGCCTGACTAAACCTTTCCATAGGTCGATCGAAGAAAGCATCCTCGCTTTTTCTACAATATCGATGAGTAACCTGGTGACTTGATCCGCAACTTGGGTTTTACGCGGTCACCTGTTTATGCGTTTGTTTGTGAGCTACTCAATCGTTCATGTGCGAGGCGGGCGACGTTTACCGTTGGCAGAAAAGCTTCGTTAAGTATGAGCTGTCAGAGGACAGGAAGCAGCCAGCAATCTTCAAGGGCGCCAAAACTAACGCAGAGTAGAAGTCAGTGTCTTTATCCTCCCGCGCTGAAGCCTGTCCAAGAAATGACCCGAACCGTGCATGAGCTTGAGCGGCCGGCCATCTGGTCGCTCTGCAACACCTCCCGCCCCTGAAACCACTTGATTCAGAGGCAATATGAAGGACTATGAAGGACAAGGCTTTTGCCGTTAATCACTCCTTTTTGGGATTCGGCACGCATTCTACTCCCTTTTGGGAATGGCTAAGTGGCTCATCGAGTTGTGGGGCCGTTACACGAGGACGCGCTGGACCAGCGTCATGCTACAGGTAAGTCACTGTTTGAATTCTTCCATACGAAGCCCGCTACTTACTTCACGGTCCACGGACATGTCTTAGAAAGCTCTGGCTGTTTTGAGCGGAGCGAAGAGGAGGTTTGACCTCCGGAACGCGCACGGGGCGTAAAGCAGATCTGCTGGTCACTACACCACTTGCGCCTCAGCGCCGTTTCACGAGAGAATGTCAGAGCGCTCTTCACAGCTGGAATTGAATTTTAGGGTGATGCAGCCCAAAGTACCGGTGTGGAGACTTTCACCTTCAATTCTTTTGCTGTCTCAGCCTTATGTTTATTTGCGGAAATTTGGGCGCCAGCAAAAGTTGTGAAAGAATACGAACCACTTGTTTAGTGCATGGCATTGTTCCGCCTTCCATATCACACAGTGATATCTTGCATTGGAAGTACACATCTCCTTCGCCTGGGAACTTGAATACTGACATCTCCTGAAATCTTTTTTACCAATAAACCACTGAAAAGGCCAAGAGAAAGGTTCTGACCTGAAATACGTAGGTTTCCTCTTGCGGGTGGCCCAGTCGAGAATAGTTGGGCGTTTCGAGGAAGTGATGATCGATTTCACATCTGAAAGAGACGAAAAAACTTAGTTCCGGTCTACTAAAATTATTCTGTGATTGGTCAGCAAACTTGCCCTTCGCTGTCGAGAATCTGTATCGTGCTCTTATCGGACTTCACGTAACAGTCATGAACCAAGTAGTGGAACTGAGGAGCTGCAAACGTAAAAAAGTCCGGAAGGTATGCTTAAGGCAGCAAAAATGATCAGAAAAAAGTTAGATAAGAGTTGAGAAAGCGCTAAAGTCTCACGGCTATCGCACTGCCATTTATGGAACAACGTCTCGCCAACTTTGGCGTCCAAAGCGACAAATTGTGTGGGAGAAATACCTGAAAGACTCAAAGTCCTCACAAGAAGCATTAGTCTCCTAATGAGACATCTAAAGACCGAACATCTTGGATAAAAAGATACAGTACCTATGAATACGGTAAGTGCAATCGGTGTCAGCTATATTTTTTGCGACCCGAGTGATCTCCTGGGGAGACAGCGGCTGTTGATAGAAGCAGCTCACTTCGAGTCCCTCAAAATAAAATGGTTACATAAGAACGAGGGACAAATGATTTCAATTTCAATGTGATCCTTCAAGCTGTTGCCGCAGGAACACTCCTATAACCCCATATCTCGGAGATGGAAAGGGCGTGGCCGCGTATTCCTTTTGAATATGTTTTCGTGTGCATACTTTCCATGCGAAACAATTGCGTCTTATACTGGACGAAGACATGATTGCAAGCGCCGAAGGAAAATGCCCCACCAGGAGGGTAGCTGCTGCCTCGTTAAAACGAGGTACTTATCCATCGCCCCCAAGCACCCAAAATTGGTGTTTGCATGTGTGGATAAGCCCTCGCAAAAGCCAGACATAGAGCGGTCAGTCACTCCACTGAGTTAAGTACGTTAATTAAACCTTTTACAGGGAAGAAATCCTTGAAGATAAGTGCATGTTCTTCTATCGAAACTGTTGCTAAAGGTACACTCCATGCTGCTAGCGTAGGCGGAGCCGTGCCCACCGTTCTGCCTTACTCATTCGTTTTGCCGCCGCTGCCCCGCGCCTCCTTGTTCTCCTAGGAAGATATGGCACACCAATGAGGTAAATATTAGGAAGGTCGGTTCCGCCCCCACGACCATCGTGGAACATTTAGAGACCTCTTAAAAAACTGAGAGAACTTAAAAACTTAATCACTCAAATTCCAAAAATCAGCTAAGCGGGCTCTCCAACCCTTTAATCATCACGTCGAGATGTGGGTGACTTCTTTTGACACAATCCTACTCGTGCCCTTTCTTGCCTATTCAGGGACTGATGCAGTGCATGATTACCAGTTCCCCCGCCCACAAAGCTAAAAAGTGAACTCAAATCCTGGTATTCCATGATGCATGTTCCTCTACTGGATCGAAACAGGTACCATCAAGCTTCAAATGCGCCTTTAACCTTGGAAGATCTGCTTCCAGGCCGCACTACAAGGGCTTCCCCACAAAAGCAAGGGTAATCCTAACGCAGTAAGCAGGACACTTTATGAAAGTCAAGCGTTACGGCATATGTCATTATTATTCCCATCGCTTCACTCAAAACCGTATCATCAAACCATGACTCCGCCTCTGCATTGTGAATGATAATGGCGATGCGGAACTGGACGAATCACGGTCACCAGTGAGTTGAAAGGTTGTAATCCATGGCCGCCACCCCTGAAAAATGCTGCACTAAGGGATCAAGAACTGGAGGAAAAGCGCTTCAAGCCATGGCTTTATCAACAGCGACGGTGTGATCTTGTTGTCATACACTTACTAGGCCAATTATCTGTACCCGTTCGCGGATCGCCGACTAGTTACAGTTGATATCACCCGCAATCAGGCGGGTTCGCAACTCACGCGATCGCCGACCATGCGGACCTTTACACTACTGGTGTTGCCTTACAGGCCATCATCTACTCAATCACACACTAGTAGAGTAGGTAAAGCCACGAGGCGGCGTCATCCGCGCACCCGCTGATGCCCTCCCCGACTCCGTTGCAATGGTACATAAAACTCTATATAGTCAGCCCAATTTTTTTCAATTCACGATAGAACATAGGAGTTAGTTTATTCAGTAAAACTTTAATGCATGAAACACAGTAAGGTATGATCTCATGATTCAAAAAGTAGAAACAAGGAACTTAGGACTTACTAGATCACATAAGTCAAGAGGAATGATTTGTGTTCTGGCTGCCGTACTGTATTATATATGTGCAGCACATGCTCCGCAATGGGCCAAGCAGTGATTATAGTAAAAACCGATAATTCTCATTCACCAGACGAAGCATCAAAAAAATTTCTACATGGGGGCCAGAAGGCATTATATATTGCAAGCTAAAAGATTTTATTCTCGCTGTGCTTTACTAAGCTTCGTAAATAGCCGGCTAACCAGAGATCGGGATTTCGTTAGCCCAGGGAATAAATTTCTAAATGTGAGACTGATTTGGCGCAACCACGGTTCAGATTAGGAAGAGCGCGGACGGATACTGGCTGACATGTGTCATGACAATACCTCATAATCTACACTACCTTGCTGAATTTGATGGTGAACTATGAGTTCATTAGAGATATTCTCGAATCTCACATGAGGCCCATTACGCGAGTTAATTGAGGAAGTATGAATTGGCTGAGTATAACTAACGCGGCGGAAGTGGCATGCTGTGATGCAATAAAGAGGCCTACCATGGCCGCCCGCGGCGTGAAGTACTGTGACATATCGTAAGAGCTGCGATAGCCCTCGGTCTACGAAAAAATGCTTTTCGTGCAGAGTATTCATGTATTTAAATGTAGAACGACTTTTGATATTCTTTCATGCATTGCCTTTTATTCATTGTGACTGAAATATTCTTTGTGGTTAGCGTTTTATGAACGGGTATTACAAACTTCTCCATTTGTTCCTGAACTATTCACCTCGTACAGATCTCCTATGGCGATGATTGTTGTTTGTCAGAAATAAAGATTGAAGAGGTGCTAGTAATGATATTGAAGTCTGCCATAAGATTTCGTTTGATTAAAGACATATTCCATTACTGGAAGTCATACGTCCCATATCCCGGAATTGATAGGGCGTGGCTGCGTACTTTTTTCAAATAAGGCGTGATGTGCGTTATTCGTGCGACGTTTCCATTTGAGTCTACTGTCATCCGGACTGGTGCTGGACAAAGACATGTTTACGATAGTGCCTAAACGGCAAAACGTCACCAAACGCGCCACGTTCAAATGAGGTGCGAAGCCACGCCTTCTCCATCTTCGGGATATCAAGTGTAGGTAATGACACTCCTATTTGTATAATCAATACCCAGCAAAGAACAATGTAGGAAAACCTCCCAGATAAGAACCCGTTAATTCTTAGTCTTCTCTTCTTAGTACGCGTTAGACGAGCATGTGGCAACTGAAGAGCAAGCACGTCCTGCCGTCGGGCGGAAATTTGCGAAATATGGCCCCTTGAAACTACGTCCTTCCCTAGCCCCATCCTATCTACCGTCTTCCTGACTTCTACCAAATTTCTACCGCTTTTTCCGAGTTTTTTTTTTCAAAAATTTCCGCCGAGCGGGTGAATGGTATATAGCGTGCATGGAAAGGGGAAAGAGTCAACAAACATTTCTTCAGTAACAAATACCACTCCCCCCCCTTACTGGCTGAGGATCCCAAACAGTCTAGAGGCAACATGAACTCAACCCCGTCAAAGGCGTCGATGTTCAGTTTTCTGCGCACTTTCTCGCCCATATGACATTCTGTGGTCATTGTGACCTCAACACTCCAGCTTCTCACAAATGATCAGTGGCTCACCCACCCCGGACTCCCCTCCCTCTGAATAAGCTCATATCCTGGCTCACACAGTAATCTTGTTTATTTCGATACCAATCTGCCCTGGTAGAGAAGCGGAAACGTCTAGTGTCTATCCTCCAAGCCTTGAGACGTGATGGGCGTGACTGCTTATTTCAATTGAGTGGCGACACCTGTGCTTTTAGTGCGATATTTTTATTTTGGGACAATCGTAGTCATGTATATGTTCGCATGAGACAAATGACAGTTGTGTTGGATGGAAATATCGCACGAACAGCGAGCATATCTGAAGTGGAGGGGGCGTAATGGCAAGTGGCACGCTCATCGCACGCATGGTCCAAGGGGTCGACCGCGAATCGGCTCCCACCCAGGCCAACAAAGGCAGCGAGGAAGTCTTATTTGCCCTTGTCCTCTGTTCTTCCCTTCTCTCACTTTTCCTGTTTCATGTGAGGTATCGCTCCCGTCTCCCCCCCCCCGCCCCACTCCCCTTCCCACTTCCCCTTGCTCGACGGTAGTTTTTGGGGAAAAACTGGAAGAACCTCCAGAATATTGGGAAAAAGTCGATAGGAACTTGGGGCATTTTAGGAAGGTGGCAGGATGGTAGGTACATGGGCAGGGGGAGGGATGCCGTACAGAGAAAGAAACTTCGAGGAGAGGGGGTCGTACTTTGCAAAAGCTTCCCCAAACGAGCAAGACGCGTCCTGTTAGGACCTGCTCAGGCCGATGAACAGGGATTAATTTGCCAAGTGCTCGCGGAATATCTGTGGAAAATCATAACAGGTAATTGAGATACTGAAGGCTGCCATTCTTTGTCCGTTTCCTATTCTTTTTGTCAGTGAACTGAACACAGTTTCTTCCCCCATTAATGCGGGAAGAATCTGCTGGCACCCAAAGGCGACACCCAAGATTATGAAGGTCTCAGCTTATGAGGAAAACTGCTTATGTTTACAGGAAGGGTAAGGCTACACATTGCCCATACGAGACCAGTGCCGTTTAGCAAAGAATCTCACACTCAGAAATACTTACCATGTAACAACAGAAGTAATTTTGAGAGTTCTGAGGGTTCCAAGGTTCCAATCGTTCACATCGCACCAATCAAGAGGTTAGAACCTGAAAGACGAAAAGAAACGAGCACGTAGCTTCTCACTTATGTAAGCCAGTATTACGGTATACAACAACACCACTTCAAAAGATTACTTTAGCCCTAAAACCGATGGAGACGTCCTTGTTAATGAATTTCTATGCAAACAGAGTGTGAAATTGCCTGAAATAAGTATGCGCACTTCAGTGGGGATAAACATGAGGAAACAACCTCTCAAAACACCTCCAAGATCACTTCAGCTATCTCTCAAAGACACCTCCAAGGATGTCTTTCAGCTTGTTTCATGCAGGGCAGCAGGGCGCACATCATTGAATGGGGATTTTGGTCGGGGGTGGGGGGCTCGTAACGATCCCACCCCTCCGCCGTCCTCTGCTCCCTCCTTCATCGAATCGAGCCGTCGAGCGGTCGAGGAGGGGGGGAGGGCAGTAAATCAGTACATATGCAAACAGCTCGAAAACCGCGAGATAATACGACCCCCCCCCTTCTACCAATTCTCAGATTTTCCCCAACTTCCTGCCACTTTTTCCAAAATTTCCCGAAAACTTCCCTACTTTTCCCAAAAATTTTGCTGTCGAGGATCGTAATAACACCACTTCCTAGAAGGCTGAAAAAAGTAAAATACGGACACTCCTCCCCCCCACCCTTCCCACAATGAGCCAACTACGACCCCCCGCCCCTTTTACAACCTCGTGAAGCGAGAAAAAATCAACTATCAAAAACCAATTTCTCAACCCCAATTTACCCCCCTCTCCTGCGCGGCAAATACAACCCATTGCATGGGGAGATCCCACAGTCAACGCATGCGCGCCTCTCCATGAGTGCCACAGCTGGTTTTTCCTGTCGGGTTGGACGCGCTGACCTTTCGGCTGCGAGGCTCATTTTTAAGTGCCTAATTCACAAAATCCGCTGTAAACTTGTATATAAAGTAACTCTAAACGGTTCCTGTTTACCATATATTCTCGGCCGCTGCGCTTATAAAGAACTTTTATGATTATTAGTCCTGGCTGACGCCATTAGCGCACTGCCCACAACATGAATGTAATTATTTTGTGAACAGGAGGGGTTGGATTAACTCTATTTAGAAGTTTTCAGCGCACTTGGTGACCTTAGGCAATTTAAAAATGAGCTCACAGCCAAAAGTCAGCGCGTCCAAACGGCATCAACCTGCAGTCTGTGTAGCACACTATATTGGTGCAGTTGCAGACCACACGCATTAAAGTCGGCAGTCTCAAGCTTGAATTCACATGAGATTATATTTCTACATTGATTTTTATATTTCAACTGTTTAAGCACCGTTCTGTTGGGGAACTATTTTTGTAACCATCACATTTTATTGTCTAAGTAGTATAATGGAGTTTTAGTTAAGCGCTGAAACTTGTGTTTCATGTTTTCAGGTCATATGTGAGCTTAAGTCTTCCAAAATTCACCAACGCCGAATCAGCTCACAGCCAGAATGGACCCAACGGAACACAGAACGCGCCGGCGAAAAGCGATCCTGCGCTTCCATTCCCGCTCCTGCCTCCGGGAGAAATTGTAGGTATTTACAACGGTGACTTTCAGAATCCAGTCCGCTCTTCAACTTATATGTTCTTAAGAACAGTGGCCAGCAGAAGCTCCCGATGGGCTCCCCGAAAGTAGTACCAGGTGGTGTATCGGTTACTGGACTAACAACCTCCCACTGGCTCATTCGCGCCAGGCAAATCGCGTTCATCTTCGGATTTGATTCAGTCTCTTTGGAGAGAAAATTGGCAGTCTGTGACTTGAAAGTAAGCAGCGCATCGTGAGTTGTTCAGAGTATTTTCTTTCAATCAAGTTCTTAACACTTCTATCGTAGAGAAAGCCTCAAAGTTTCGAATTAATTCGCTTATGGGCTTTGTAGTGATTTTCTTTTCTCGTCAGTCGCATATCTTCTGAATACAGTAATGTTGAAAAAATTCAGGAAAAACTGCTGAACAAGTCTTTTACAACGTGGTGGGGGGCGGATTCTCTACGATCGAATTTATGCCATACCCTGCCATTGCGAATAACGCTGAACTATGCCTCCATCAGTTGTGCAGGCTTGATGGCTGGCATCAGGCAAATGGGAGCTCAAAATAAACGAAAGCATAACTCCCGGGTAAGTCTGTTCATTGTAATTCTTTACTCCAGTTTGTCTCGGATTAATTTTTCTTCAGAAGCGACAAGCCGTGTGAAACTTGTAAAAAAAGCTACTTCACTGAACTAACTTTTGTATAGTTCTCATAGAGATTCTCCCTCAGGTTTGCATAGTTTGATTTGTTGTAGTGGTATTATTCAACTATTTTTGCCTCGGAAACTCAAGCTTTTCCTGCGAACCCCCGAAGGGTAGTCGGTGTCCTGATCACGAAAATCATATTTAGTTTAGTGGTAGGCGACCGATCTAGCCACATCAAAATAGGTGTAAGTGCACATCCTGCATGCTGATATTCATTGTTCAGAAGCTCTAATTACAGCTCCAATGGGGACTGCTTTCACTTCAGCAATTTTAGTGCGGTACTAATGGTATTTTTTCTCGCCAGCGCTTGTGAGCGCGGGCTTCAGAACCGATTTTCGGAGCTAATTAGATGATAGAAGTGCTTGCGTTATTCGAGTTAAAACACATGTTCCTCAGATGCCGTAACTCGAACCCGCATCTCTCGTCTTAACCGGCTCGGTTCGCATATCCAACAAATCACGCATACAGGGATACACATCACACTCTTCCAGTTCCGACTTTTTGTGCCACGGCACTGACAACATTTAATATATGGGTCATTGAGTCTGATTTATTGAACCCAATAACTCTGCAACTCTTGCTAAATAACTTTTAAAAGCAAAAGCGAAACTGCGGCCCAAACAGCACTGGACCAGAGCGGGGCGTAGAAATTCGTGCCTACGGATGTCAGGTTACCCCATAGGATCAACATCTTCAGCACAAACCTGGCCCTATAGAAGTGAAAGTCTATGATAAAAACTGATGTTTCGGAAATGGGGGTAGTCATAATTGAGTACTGCCGTTGTCACTCGTATGGGCAGCTGTAATCTTGATTTCAGTTCATTGCCATTCACAGTCGTTTTAGGTTGAATTTCACTTGACTGCTTGTGAACAGCAGGTCAAATATCTTCTCGATAGCTCCTTTCAACAAGTACAATATAAAAGATCCGTGAGTTTCTGTTTGCTTGCTTTATCTTGCCGGTTACCGTGTTGCCATAATGTATCAAAGAATTCGAAAATGTTTCAGCGCTACGTTGGGGGTAAATAACACGAATAGTCTAGTCGTTGCTGAAACTTACGCAGAGGTGATTGGTGCTTTTATCGGAAACTCACTTCACTCAGATCCATAAGTAAGGCTTAGTAGAGGATTCATATGTTCAATAGCTCACTTGTCTACTATAATGAGTTCGCATTGCACTTCCAGGCAATTTATGAGTATATTATCTGATCTGAGAAAGGACACTTCGGCAGCTGTGACTCACAACTTGATCTCTCTTCTCATGGCTATGAAATTCGTTAAAATTAAAGTGAGAACATGGCCCTTTTTTTGAAAAGGCTCGTAGCGTTATTATCTTTCTTTTTTGTTCAGACAAACCAGGTGGACGACTTTGAAATGGGGTATTAAGTTCCTGGACGACCTTGGGTCATTTCTATTGGAGGTGAAAGATAAGGTTAGTTCTCATTCTCTCATCTGTTTCCACTTTCTTTGGTCTCACCTTTTTTGTTTCAGGATGTTAAACACGCCGTAGCTGGCCTTCTTGTCGAAATCCTCCTACCCGTTGCTGCGGTATGGTTCCGTTTCCAAACTTGTGCACTTGCCATTTTAGCATTCAAATAAGCTATAACGTTTGAAATGTCTTTTTTTTTCTTCAGCAACATCAAACGTGAAGCAAACATTCCGGCCTTAATTGCTTTCGTTGGCAAAACTGTATGGACCAACAAGTGAACTGGCTTCAAAGAAGCAACACAAGCTGGTGAGATTCTTCTTTCCCTCAAGGTCTTGCGAGATGTAGATCTAGCTGGACCTACTTCTGTTTAGGCTGCATACCCTCTTCTGACTTGTCTGCTCTGTGTGAGCCAACGCCAGTTCTTTTTGACTAACTGGGTACCTTTCCTGAACAATACCCTTGCAAATCTGAAGAATAGAGATTCTCGAATATCACGAGTGGCTCTGGAATCGCTATATAGGCTGCTATGGTGAGAAGCTCTTGACTATTATTTTTTTTGAAAGTTTTCTGGAAGAGATTATATCAATCGTTCTAGGGTTTACATGATTCGCAACAACTGTGATGGTAACTCGGCGACTCGTACAAGGTTAGAATCGATATGTGGAAGTCTGTTCCCAAAAGGCAATCGTGGGATTGTCCCTAGAGATGCACCTTTAAACATCTTCGTCAAGATAATCCATTTCATCGCTCAACAGAAGCTGGACTTCGCTTTCAAGGTGAGCTTTCAGGTTTTCTTAAAGCTCTTAAAATCTCGTAACAGAGTTGCTTAACTGCGATTGTTTTCAAGGATGTTATATTCGATCTCCTGGCTTGTAAATCGCGTTTCGCAAAGTTCTTTATCCTGCAGAGGCATGAACATAGGAATTTCGATGCTTGATGGGCTTATTGCTGATGGTCTCCAGCAGAAGGATGAGCCGCCGGCAATGCCCAAGTCAATGGGTGAGTTTAGCTAATTGCAATGCTACGCTTTATATTGCATGGTAATTGTCCACAAAAGAATGTATATACTTTTTTCTCAGAGCTTTCAGGCCTTTTCATGTAACTGTATTTTCTCTCGAGATTTCCCTTGCAGGTCCAGTCAGCAACGCAGGCGACCAATGCAAACCGGTTTGAAAAGAAAACCCTGATAATTACTCGCCCATTAAACGGCTCGATATTGCTTAGGTCAATCTGCCGTCTTGACCAGTACTACATACCTTGCCGCAAAGCTTTTGATTCCATTCTTCGAATCTTGGATACACAGGTAGGTGTCCTGCTCTTTTGCTGCTCAGATTTCTTTTATTTCTTCGCTGGCGATGTTTTTTTGCCCTTCTTTGTAGTACTGCATAAGGCACGATGATTTGCTACTCAATCTTAATAGGTAGCAGGGTGCTAGATAGTGAGAAAATGGGCGAAAAAGCGAAGTGAAGCGGTCGTAAACCTGCAAAACGTCTTTGTACTGCACGACTCAAAAGCAGTTTTGGACGAGTTTCTCGTTATCGTCGTGCCAGTAATCGCTATGATAGGTGCGCTGCACGTATGCACTCATATGCCCGTGCAGCACCGCAGCCGTTTCATATTGTACTTCCGAAATGAAGCGATGTGAGCACCAGCCATCGGTCCTCGGACCATTTGGGTGGGCGGCGCCCAGCGGGGCGTCCGGCGCTCGGTATGCGCTGCAGCTTGACTAGAGCGCTCTAGTGGGGACCCGCCTTGGAAAAGCGCCTCGCCAGGGCCTGTTCTGGGGCCTCCTCTAATCCGTGCACTTGCCTTCAGTGAAACCGCAAATAATTAGTTAGCATTCACAGGAGGTCAAGAGGGCTCACTGTTCTTCATGTAATTTTTCAGGTCGGCCGTCCTCTTATGATGACTGCTATTCAACGTGGGAAAGAACCAGAGGAATTACTAGGGTAGGCTTTATGGGTGTTCTTTCGATTATTCACATAACAAGGAGTTCTTGTCCGATTTGTTCGCAATTTACTTGTGATCACTTCAGTGGAGACGTGAAGCCAAAGCTGGATTTGTTCCGTACCTGTGTTGCTGCCATTCCTCGGTTGTTACCGGAACCGATGACTTATACTGTACGTCAGAAAACTGATATCATACCATCTTTTATAGGTGCTACTTATTCCCTCCCCGTTCAGGAGCTCATAGATATCCTGACGAGAACAACTGTTCATGTTGATGAAGAACTCAGAACAATGGCTGGGAACACTCTCCAGAATATGCTTGGAGAATTTCCAAGGAATGGAGAGAGCAAATCATTATTGCTGAGATCACCTTGTTACACAACCAGTTGACGGTAAATCTTTGCTATCAAATTGTTGCATATTCTGCTCCCAAAGTATTTGGCGCGGTTCCCCACTTCAGTTATGTTTAAGGACTTTTATCCTGCGGTTTTGGATGAGGCGCTTCGTCTTCTACACCAGATGGTCGTCACTTGGAAGTCCGCTACATTACAGGAGAAAAAGAAGGAACAGGAAAAGGTGATTTTATCCCACATGGAGCTCATAGTGTATAAGTTTTCAAGGACGGACGCTTTTAAAGTTGTAATTTTATCCTAATGCATTACGACAAGAGGGGGGGGGCTCAACCCTCAATGGCTTACGGGAAGCCGGTCCTTCAATATTATTGTTCTGATTCTGCGACGCTAGCAAGTCAAAATATCAGCTGCCGAGGCTCAATAACGTGATGCTGTAGGGATAAGAGTTGAGTTTTCGAGCCTCTGAATTCAAGGTTTTTCATAGATAATAGGACAGCTTTTGGCTTTTCGATAGGTGTAGCGCAAGGAAAAGTGATGGCGCAACAGCCAACGCAAATGTTCTTATTCACTTAATGATTATTAAAATTCATCTTTGAAGGAATCAAACTCGCTCGAGAATTCTCATACGGTTCCTCCTCCTTTGTACTTTCCTCAACTACGCGTCTGTCTTGCATGCTGTTGAAGGAATGGCCCTAGTGATGCTTTGCCAAATCAGGTGCTTGCTATTTTGAGTTTCTTTTCCTAATTTTTTTCGAGCATTTTTGCGTGAAGTTACTTTCCTAATTCCTGCGTTGTCAGGCCTCAGCCGAAGAAGATTGCAATCTCTTTGCTGAAGGAGGTGAAGCAAATCATATCCATATTGGCTCTTGATGTGAGTTTTCACTAGAATTCTCTTCTAGTTTCCCTGCTGAAGGTTTCCCCTTTTCAGAACGCAGACACTCCGGTTATAACTGTTCTTGATGAAGCTACCCCATACGTCGTTCGAAAGTACATAGAACATGTCCCGTTGTATGAGAGAGTTAGTCTTTTCTGTTTTTTTCCAAACCACTGATGTAGCCTTATCATGCTTATCTGTGGCAGTCGGTTTTTATTGTTTTCTCGTTCAGTTTTACAGAATTTAGTGGAACATTTTAGATGAGCTGGAATCTTGACTTCACTTCAGTTTGTGATAAAGTCGCTGTCATCGACTCTGACGTGTGCTTGGTAAGTCATGAAACTTCAAATCACCTGGTAATAGACCACTGTTGTGAAGGTCAAGGAGCCTGTTGTTAAGGTGAACAGTGACAAAGGCAATGAGTATCTCCAATGGGATCCATGGGCTTGTGCGTTAAGTGGATATGCCGAGCGAAAGCATCTCATTTCAAGGTACTTTACGCCCTGATTGTCTGCAAGACATTATCCAACGAAGTTCGCTTTAGGTGTCCAACTGCCGTGGCCAACGCTTGGCCTGTACTTTTCAGCAGGTTGATGGCCGTGAATGCGTATGTAGACCCAAGGTAAGTCTTAGATCTGCATTAGCTTCTGCTTCACATTGCAAGGATGAATAATACTACAATTTATTTTTACTTCGCTTTCATATGTATTTTCGGTGCCGAGTTCGCGGTCATCCCCTGTTTTTTCTTTTCTCGATTCAATCCATCACTGTTCAGTCGTGATCCACCTTCTTTATTTTTAGCTTTTTTTCTTCTTCGCTTTTCTTTTTTCTTTTCCCCGCTTACCCTTTACTGCCCAAGCCTCATCACCAAATTTACTGAAACCTGGGGTAGTCTTACCTCGTGAACGCGAATATCCCATGCAGTTGGTCTGAAACCTACTCCTAACCTAAAAACTGGCCTGATCATGGACGACTGGAGCAGTATAGGGTAATAGTGGCAATTCCGAACTGCTGGTCCGATTTAAACTTGTCTTTGACATTCGCTCGAGTAAATAAAACTGTCTTTTGCAAGCTCAAGACTTATTTCAGCAATCCACAAAACGAGAATCGAGCTTCTCTACTTCGCGGCAGCAAAAGTAAGGGATCGTCAGTATGTGGCGAGGCTCTAAGTCAGGATGGGTGCCTTTCATTATGGCAGAAATACCTCGTGCTTTGCTGCGCATTTGCACCGTCGCCTCACAACCATAATAGCCTGATATCAAGAAGTTTTAGTCCCACTTCTTCGTAAGTGATTTGATATTTATTCATGTAGTTTCAAGATGACCAATAGTGCGCTTCAGAATGGAAACCGACGTATTGAGAAGCGTGTCATCGTCGTTACGGACCACTTCTCGTATTTCTTCTACTGCCACACTTCCTCAGTTGTTCACGAAAACCGCTGCAATGCTAAGATGGGAAAATATGATTGATATTCGCGATAGCGTTGTTCTTGGTAAGTGGCTTTTCACAGGAGCTGGTTACGTTTGAGGGTTGTGCGGAATTCTGTTTTCAATGTCAAACGCCTCCTCCTGCAGTTCCTCGAAAATTTGCTTCATTTATTGAAGTTGCGATATAGCCTTGTCCCTTATCATTTTAAGTACTCATTCCTAGCTTTTTCTTTATTTGAACAGTGGATCTTCTCTTTATTTCTTTCTGATGATTACTCGCGCAGAATTCATCCTCACCGTATAAAGTCGGAGTTCCGATGTATCGAATTCCAATCTTTGCCGTTTAACCTCATTGTCGCTTCAATATAACCGACGCATTTTCCAGGAATTGGATCTTTGAATGCTGTGGCATTTGAAACATTCTTGGAAGACCTAAATCAGCGCGGCATACTGAGGGACGCAATGGAGAAAAAGGTGCTGTTCGCCCACACGATATTATAATCTTTCAGACCTACATTTATGCATTAAAAATCCCATCCCTTAAGTAAGTACTTAAATTCCAGATGGAAACAAATGTACGTCGGCGCAAGCGCAAGGATCTTTTGAGGCTTCAGATAATTCGCATTATTGAGGTAGAGCTATTTGCGACGGCTTGAAAAGAGTCCTTGCCGAGACTTCTGAAACAATTTGCCTGATTCAGATTGCGATATTTCGAAGACTGTCTTCGACTGCCACATTAATTCGATGTAAATGGCAATTGAGGTCCTTTGAATTTGCGGATTTTATAGATCGCTATAGAAGCAATCTTGAAAGCGACTTGGTCTGTTACTCCCGCAAACATTGTTCCTCGCACTGCTCAAAATATAGGATATTCCTTTTAGTTACGGATCGGCGACATTTGCAGTGGTGACAAGGATGCGCCTCCATTTTGCAAACTGATTGTGGTAATTGATAAGGATAATGATCCAGCCCTTGAGAAGTAGAGGGAACTCTTCATTCCGGTACGAGAAGAAGGCAGATGCTTTTTACCCTTTTTAATGGTATGGTGCAGTCCGAACAATTGCAGCCGACATAGAAGAATCGTGAAAATTGATGTGTGATGAATGTGAATTTTGCGAAGCTGACTGGGCTTTTCTTATACGTACACACATCTCAAGGATTTTGGTCTGAAGAAAGGATTTTTGAAATAGCTAACGACCATCCGACTGAATCAGAGTGTTTTGCGGGAAAGTATGATTAATTATGATCCAAAGTAGAACATTAAATAATCCTCTCATAGAGAAAGAAGCGAAAAAACCATGGGACATCTGAAGCCAGACCTAGCAGTGCGCACTTGGCGGAGTTTGTCGAGATGTCAGGCAAATCCAGTCAGCCATAGAGTTGACTGCAACCATATTCCGCCGGCAGAAGCGCAGAATCTACCTACCGATGCTTCAGGCAACGCTATGTACACCACCGGATTCGTTGTAAGGCCGGATTGTCTTGTAGAACGAAATTAACGTAGTCAATGGTTCGCAACATATGCGTCTCTTAGCTTTCTTTATCTTGCCGGTTTCGAGTGCACGAAAGTGGTAAATTCTATGCATTTGGTGACCAACGAAGCCAGTGCATACTGCGTCGAAGGCATTCGCGGAAGCCGCTTGGACAGCGGAAACTGTCTTTAAACGAAGTCAGTCTTCATTTTATGAAAATGCCTTCGTTTTCAGGTAGGATCATATGTGGAACAGAAAGCAGCTTTGGCTATGACACGTTTGCTGAGTTGTGGGCGAATATTTGAGACACAAAAGTCGATAGGCGAAGATGGCTACCTTTACGGTTGGCTGGAAAAGCTCGTTTCGAGTGCGAACACAACGGTGAGATTGCTTTGGCTGTTTTGTAGATCACATCTTGACCGATCTGAACTATTTATAATAATAATTATTATTCTGACCGGTTTTCATTTCTACTTATTATTTATTATTTTTTAAATTTTTAATTGATTTTTTGTTCTTATCATAGTTTTCAAAATTACTGTCAGACTGTTGCCTGGTGATAAGTTATTCTTCCGATTTTAGATGCAAGGAGAGGTTGAGGAAATGCTAGCGTGGATGTTGGAATTGAATGAATCCAGTCACTTGTTGGATTGGCTGATGTCTCAGTGCTACTCTCAGCCAAGTGTGGTTGCGGCAAGGTGCTTCCGAGCTCTTGTTCGGGTATTCTCCAAACGTGATTTCCCATGCGAATTCATTTCCCTCTTCGTCCTTTGCCAAGCAATGCTTGGTGACGCTGCTGTAACAGATGCTGCAGTGCATATGATCGAAATTCTCAAGAGGCAGTTTCTCGACAAGTAAGGCTGAACTCTATTTTGTTTTGATTATTTCTCTACGCATTTAATTTTCAGTAGCATGGTAGTCTCACCGCCATTAGGTCCAGCTTCCAATAACATTACGGTAACACCACCGGTCCAGTTGAGACCTACAGTTGTTCCCGACACTCACAGTCATTGTCTGCCAATGGATCAACAAGCTGTTTGCCGGAATTTAGCAAATGCTTATCCACACCTCACTATTACGATATTCAGCGGTACTTTTATATCATTAATATATCATTTTTATATGATTATGAGCTCAGGACCGCTGCGTAAGAGCTTCCTAGTGGTTTTGTTCAATTATAAGCCTTTGCATCAACCTAGACCTATCTAGAGTACCTTAAAGGTAAAACTATCGCGTGGGGTTGCTGGTGATTCTCCCAATCTTGTATGCGTAGCTCTAAGGGCGGCAGCGTCCAGCGTCTACCAGCGTCCATCACAAGTGTTCCGAGTGTTCGGCAGCGTCAGCGGCTAGAAAAGTATAGATATTGATTCAGCGTCTGCCAGCGTCTCGAGGCTTAGGTAAATATAGGTATCGACCTTGCGTCTGCCAGAGTCCACCAGCGTTCAACAAGTACCATGAGTGAAGAGTATGGTACAACAACTTACATTGAATTCCCATAATTCTGTGCTTGAGCAAGTTGTGCGGTGTCGAGCTGCACATTGGCACAATTCGCATGCCTAATCCAGCTGTTTGCAACCCCCCCCCCATTCCCCGTCTTCTACTCCCGGTCGCTGTCGTGAACGCTGTAGGTAGACACTCAGACGCCGGCGGACGCTAGATCGAAACCTCGACTTCCCTCGCCCTTGAGACGCTGGTGAACTCTGGCAGACGTTCGGTCGATATCTATATACTTCTAGTCGCTGATGCCGATGCTCGGAACGCTAGTGCTCGCTGGTGGATGCTGAAAGATGCTGCCGCAAAGTATGAACGCAGCCTAAGGCTCCTCATCGTGGATTGTATGCTCTTTGCCTCTTAAGATTCTCTACTCGCCATTCACACATGATCATTCACTTGAAACGAATGAGCCTCATTTAAAGTCTTCGCAACTCGCGCCTAAGCTTCTTCTGCCTCTTCGTAGCTTGTCCTGTTATCACAGAAAATGTTGTATTCGAATGTTAGTACCCAGGGCATTGTTTTTAACACGCGGAGCGTCGCATAATAGCTGCGACAAATTCCTATCTGCCTCTGCACCTTTAATGCCATATTCCGACCGCTACGGAGCTGAATAATCCTTTTCAGAAGTTTCGAGTCGTCTAGAAGGGGCTCGAAGCCAAAACAGAACCTACTTAATATCTCTCCTGCATGCGTGGGTGGAGAATATTGAACTTGTTGATCCGATGGCTGGTGAAGATTCATGTGAAGGTGATGATTCAATTTCACATACTCTCTTTCAGATCCAGGAAGGGTTGGGACGGTGACTTCTACGATGCGTCATCAGTTTATCATGTTTGAAAGCTGCGACATGCTTATCACGAAGAAAGGCTCTATTTATTTAGGTCCTCGTGGATGGGGATCGGAAGAAGCTACGCAATTGCTGTTGAATAATCTGATGTACTTAACGATATGCTTGGCTCCTGATCATGAGCACGAGCTGGCTGAACTTTGGCGTGCTCTTGCTCTGTCATTTCCTGCGAATTTGCCAGTGATTCTCAATTACCTCTACGTAGTCACTGTACTGTCACATGAGGCACTTCTTCCTTATGTAAGTTGTATTTCTCATCGATGTTGGCTTTCATTTGTTTAGCATACCGTTTGAATTGTTGGACTTTTTCGAAATTCAGGCAAAACGAGTAAGCGTCATACTGGCTGGTGTGGTGGGGAATCGCATCGCTGCCTTGCTATTGGAGCAGCTATCCTCGTCTGTGGATAATGCACGCCATACACTGGAAAGGTCCGATATTCCTCCATACTATCGCTGGAAGGATGATGCCGAAGCAAAGAAGGTCGGGTAGTGAGGTTTAATACACTCTACCGTTTTTGTTATAGCTTGAGAGTTTGGTGTTTTAGGATTCTGTTGTGGAAGTTAATTCACCTATGCGAGACTCTCCCATGGGTGATCGTTTTGCTGCCGCATCAGAAGATGCTAACAAGGAAGGGGTTCGCCTCCTTCCAATGCCTGCTTACGGAGGTTATTACTCAAGACTCTGCACTTATCTGCCACCCACTACTCAGCCAGTTCAATTTTTCACCAGGTAGACCTTTTGTTGTATTTTTATTTTCAGTAGGTTGCGGAATAGTTTTGCTAGAATTTTGAATGACTGCAAGCATTGTGGTTACAGGAGTCAAGTCTCACTTCTTTTGATATGTGATATAATTCGAGCATCATCTGATGTGGATTGGACTGAAGCTACTCCACGACTGCTCCATGCAGCTGTACTTTCACTAGATTCACTCCGGCCAGCGCTCTGTCGTCATGCCAGACAGGTAGAATGCCGAGCATATAGACTTACTTCTGCAGATTTATGAGCGCTGTTTCAGACAATCATCAACATCTCCCTTTTGCATGCAGATCAGACCACTTTAGCTCATGTTTCGGGAATGTTATTGAAACATCAAATGAGTCGCTCAACTTCGGACGACTACGGACTTAAGACGTCTGCAGCGTCATTCTGTGAAGTAGTTGCTGCGAGAGGTGCTTCACCTACGTTCGCAAAAGTAGCCGCTGAGGAATATCGCAGCATGCTTCTTAACAGCAACACTTTGTTCTCTTCACAGAGTGATCTCATTATGGCTCTCGTTTTCTGCCTAAGTGAAAAGTGAGTTTGGCTTCATATGAAAACTGGTGTTGATTACTTCTAGAGGAATTATGTGTTGATTTTTCTTCCGGATTTGAAAAATAGGGAAACGTGAGATTCCTTTTGTTCTATCCCTATCGCTCAATGAACCCTTACTTTGTTATCAAACAATGGCAGGTCAGGTTGAGTTAAACTCACAAATGTTGACGGAATAGTATCATGGGTTTTTTGGAACAGTGGATTAAGTCGCTATCTACAGTCACCTCCATGGGCTCCAAGACGTCGCAACTCGCTCTTAACCTGAGAAAGGATTCTAGCTCTGAACCACCGTCGTTTTCTCAAAGACGCTTCTAGAAGTATGCTCGTAATACCAAAAAGGGGCGCAGTTTGACGCAGGGGAGGGCATTTTGAGCTTTCGTTGCTTCACTAAATCGGTTTACAAGTGTCACTCTGGTGAAACCTGCATGTGAAGCTGGAGCAAGCTCGTTAAGCCATCATGGTAAAACCTACTCGAGAAGAGGCTCGATGGAGATGGCAAAAGTGCACCTCCCCCTCCCTAGAA